AAGAAATTATACGTTCTTTTTTCAGATGCTTACACTATTTTAGCTCAAATGCAAAACTGGAGATCCACGCAATCGACTGCGAAAAATTAAACGACTGTGCCATCAGGGTACCAAGCGAAGATGACAAGTGGTTGAGTTTCGGCAACTATATCAGGAAGGAACTTCCTCGTTCATAGTCTACGCTGATTTAGAATGCACCCTCGAGAAGACCGAGAGAGATATCGAAACGTCCAGCTACACGTACCAGCATCATCGGGTATTTAGTTTAGCATATTATGTCCGTTGTTCGTACGACAATTCATTGTGTATATATAAATTTCATCGCGGTAATGATTGCGTCGCGTGGTTCGCCGAGGAACTTAAAAACTTAGCGTATAAAATAAAGACTATCTTGTCCACTAACGTTCCCATGGCAAATTTTACGCGAGATGATATAAATTTTAACAACTCTACGCACTGCCACGTGTGTGAAAAATCGTTTGCGCCGGATGACACGCGGGTACGCAATCATTGCCACTTGACCGGACGATACAGAAGTCCCGCGCATTCAAATTGCAACTTGAATTACAGAGATTCATATTGCATTTCCATAGTTTTTCATAATTTATCGGGATGCGCATTTAATTATCAAACTATCGCGTATAAAGGACGAGTAGATACTCGTATATAGTACTTCCTATAACAAAAGAAAAATATATTTTCTTCACAAAACATGTCGACGACACTGTAAATAATAAGAAAAAATATATAAAATTACGTTTTATTTATTCTTATAAATTTCTCAGTATCAATTTAGAAAAATTCATCGTATCTCGATAAAGATAAATTAAAAATTATACGATCAGAATTTTTCAACCTCAGCACGGAGAATTTCAATCTTTCCATAGGCGCAAAGGCATATTTCCGTACGAGTACATTGATTGCAAAAAGTTAGAGGAAACTGAGCATCGCACGAATTATTTTATAGCTCGCTGACAGGTGATATCGTATCCGAAAGCGATTACGCGCACGTCGTCAACGTGTGGCAGCGATTTTTCATTCGAACGCTCTATGAATATAGCGATCTGTATTTAAAGACAAACGTTTTGTTGTTAGCTGACGTTTACGAAAATTTCCGTAACAGTTGCATCGCAAGTTACGGGCTCGAACCCGCGTATTATTATACACTACCGGGTTTTACATGGAATGCGATGTTAAAACATACCCGTGCAAAATTTAAACTTCTTACGGACATTGACATGGTCATATTCATCAAACGCGATATACGTGGAGGTCTGAGCCAATGTTCAAACAGATATGCATGGGTTAACAATAAGTACATGCAATCGTACGAGCCACGAAATCGTCGACGTACCTTATGTATGACGTACCTTTGACGTTAACAACCTGTACGGTTGGACAATGTGTCATTCATTATCATACGCCAGTTTTCGATGGATCGACGATGTAGAAAATTTTGATGTTACAGATGTTACGACAGTCGCGACAGATTTACCTACGGGTGACATTCTCGAGGTAGACTTAGTATCTACAACATCTTCACAACGCTCACACAGACCTACCATTTTGTCCGACGCGCGAGAAACCATCCGACAAGCGAGAGAAGAAGTTCCTCGCTACGTTATATGATAAAAAGCGTTACGTAATTCATTATCATAATCTACAACAATGTACCCGTCACGGTCTCAAAATCGCAAAAATTTACCGCGTACTGCAATTCGCGCAATCTCATGGCTTCGCGGATACATCGAACTTAATACGAATTTTAGAACTTTTGCCAACAACGAGTTTCAGAAAAATTTGTATAAATTAATGAATAATACTGTATTTGGTAAAATCATGGAGAACGTACGCAACCACGTTGACATGTGACTTACAATGCGTTGAGACGGGAGATACGGTGCGGAGGCAATAATCGCGAAACCAAACTTTCATAGTAGAAGCGTTTTTTCCGAGAATTTAGTCGCGATAGAAATGCGTAAACTCGAGGTGAAATTCGTACATCACACCGCTGTTTCGCGAAAATTGTAAAGTTATATACACTGATACGGATAGTCTCATTTACCACATTGAGTGCAACGTCTACGGTATTATAAAATGTAATATCAATCGATTTGACACTAGCGGTCGTCAATACGTATTATATTCCGCCAGCTAATAAAAAAGTTCCGGGCTTAATAAAAGATGAAAACAATGGCACGATCATGACCGAAGTCATCGGACTTAGAGCAAAAATGTACGCCTTGCGCATCGATAGGAAGAAGGCAAAAGGAGTCAAAAGTAACGTTATAGCGAAATCGATAACATTTGATGATTTCATGCGATGTCTAAATAATGAAATCGAAATGAAGCACAGGCAATCGTGAGATCGAAATTGCACGAAGTATACACGATATCGGAAACGAAAATTGCTCTAAGTCCGTACGATGACAAGCGATATATTATATCAGATTCTACAGACACACTGCCATGAGGACATTATAAAATATTACTATATAAAAAAAAAGAGAAATAAAATAACAACGGTGTAAAGACTCTTTATTTATAAACAAAATAAACAAAATAAATGGTGAAAAAGAGTCGACGCATAATATATTTACTTAAAGATAATAGTCATAGATACATAAAATAAAAAGTAAAATGGCGCATATTAATATGTAAAACAAACAAGTTTCGGCTGCTGGATTGAACCCTCCTCAGATGTAAAAAGAATATAATCCGAAAAGACATAAAAGATTACAACAACAAAAAAATAAATCGATAACATTCAGTGACGCAACATTTTTAACGCGCGGAAATCAGCAATTGTGATGGATCTCGACGTAGCCTAATGTTGTATATGCAATGGGGCAATCAAACCGATGTTAAGAAACATAGTCAAGTGCTAACTGAAAAACGGAAAAGGAAGGGAACTCATAAGAAACAAGTAAACTAAAAAACTTAAAACTTAAAAACAAAACACGCCGCAGATAAGAAGCCAAGTGCTCACTCACCAACGCATCCGAACAGGAAATGAGAATCGCCGCAATGACAAGTGTGAAAATCCCTGACAATGATAGGGATGTAATCGTCGAAGTCAGACATGTCAACATCGCACGTGACACCGACCGCTCGCTAAGACGGCACGCGACGCACTGAGAGAGGAGACAGGATCGAAAGTCAGACTTTGTTTATAATCGGCAGATATGCCTTATTAAGACCCTCGGTGTCAGTCTGTAAATTGAGACTGTTCCTCTGTTTTTTTATATGTAGCATCTCCGAAATCAAACGCTTTCTATACGAAGGCTCCTCGTCTAATATCAGAACATTGTCCCATTGAAAATCGTGATTGTGACTCAACCTATGATCGGTGATGACAGAGCGGGCAGAAGCTTTATGTCTAATATGATTACGATGTTCGGCAATCCTGGTTTTTAATTGTCTGTCCAACGTAAAAAGCGTCACAATCATTACATAAAATTTTATAAACAACGTTGCTTTTCGATGTGCTGGGACAAGAATCCTTCTGGACTCTTATGTATTTGCCCATTTTGTTAGGGCTGCGGAAGGCCACCCTGATATCACTTTTGCTTTTATTCAAAGATCTAAGTTTCTCCGTATGAAGCGGAATGAAAGACACCGTAAGCCAAGAGGCAGACTTATTAGTTGAGTCAATGTCAGTCGCGGTATCGTGTAATCTGTGTCTATTTCTAATCAAATTTTTGATCCTATGATTGATGGAGTCAAAGATAAAGTCTTTCTCTAGTGGATAGTCATTCAGAAGTAAAATGTCAATGATGGCGGTCAAATTTTTTGTGTGAAACTTAAAGTCAGATAATAAAAAGGCTCTGTCGACTAATGAAAAGATAGTTCCTTTCTTCTGCGTCAATGGATGATTAGAATGGAAGTTTAAAAATCTACCTGAAAATGTTGGCTTACGGTACCAATCGAAATTAAAGCGATTATTGTTGACAGACACGTCCAAGAAATTGATCGTTTTTCCGCCTCTCTCTACGGTAAACTGTAGGCGCGGATGGAATGCATTAAATCTCTCTAATAACACGTCGATCTGAGAGGGGGGCAACGCAGTACATATGTCGTCAACGTATCTATAATAGAACAGAATGTCCAAATTCACAGACATCAAGGACACCGTCTCCAATCTCCTCAACACCAAGTCCGCTATCACCGGTGATATTGGAGAGCCCATGGGGGTGCCAAAGCTCTGCCTGTAAAAAACATTGTCAAAGACAAAAAACGAAGAGTCCAGGACAAACTGTATCGCTCCCAAAAATTCCTTCTTGGGTAGAGAGCAATCGATGGAAACAGCCCGCCAATGTTCGTTAACACAGTCGATCGCTACATCCGTTGGCACGTTCGTGAACAGAGAGGTAACGTCCAAAGACGTTAACTCATGTGTCCCCGTAAAGTGCACATCCCTCAGCCTCTCGACCAGTTCAAAACTGTTTTTCATATAACTGTCAGCTCTCGGGATGGTTTTGAATAGTTTCTTGTGTAAAAACGTAGCCAAAGAATGCAGCGGACTGCCCACCGATGACATTATAATTCTAAGAAGACAGTCATTTCTCAAAAGAGAAATAAGTAAAATGAATCCTATTTTTGTACTCGTACACTTATGTATTTGTAATAAAAAAAAATTATTTTTGTTTATATTATGTATTTTTTAATTAAAAAAGATCTTAATTATATGTTTACATATTGTAATAAATATAATATATACTGATATATACAATAATTTGTAGAAATATATTTATTTATAACACATTGTCCTTGTGTATCCATGAATAGTGCGAATTACTAAATCCCAGCCATTTCCCTCTTTGCGCAACACTTTTTCAATTAGATATACGTCAGGATTAGCAACGCGATGTAATTCGTACTCGTAGAATCCTCTAGCGACCGGTTTTCCGCGATAATCTTCTAGAAGATACGTCACGAGATTAGTTTTCTGAACTTTGACGATTATAAACACCTCCGTGGTCTAATTTGCTATATAACCTTTCTCAAAAATTGTCTTGAATTTGCTCACACGTACCGAATCATCTACTTTAAATCGCGGGAGTGTGACAGTCTTTACGCTGTATACACCGTATTTAAAAATTTGTTGGCAATTGTGGAAGTCACATCGATAGTTCTATGTTTTCGTGCGTTGTACTCTGACACGAGACGGGGCAGCAAGTCGATCCATTCGTAATTTCCATTGTGCGTAAATTGTTTCCACATATCGTTTTTCAATGTACGATTGAACTGTTCGATGACCGACGCCTTCGTTACGGAATAGGTTAAATAATGATTTACATTGTGTTTTTTCAAGAGTTTTTGTACGTTTTTGTTGTAAAACTTTTCCCATATTTGCAAATTTTTCGAGCATCTTCTATCGTTTCGAATTATCTTTGCGATCGCTGTAACCATCTCATTTCCATTCTTTGTGCGGTACGGCCCATGCATGCTTATTTAACACATCGATAACGGTAAGAATGTACTGGTAACTTTTATTGAATCGTGTGTAAAGGCGCATTTTGACCACATCAGTCTGCCATAGGTCATTGTATCACTAAACCATGACATGTCCACTGCGTGGAAATTTTTTTCTCATTGGAGCGTGCAGTTCTTCCACCAGTCGCCACTTTTCAAGACTTTTCTTCTCAGATATTTTTTTGTCGTGGTATACGATGCAAAAAATGTTACAAAGATCTTACGTAAATGTTGTTGATCAATGTTTCAACTTCGACTAAAATTACTGCGTATCTCTCATTTCAATTTATAATAAGGCCAGCTTCACGAAGCTCCTCGATAATGGATAAGATTTCGTTATTATTGACATTATGACCTGCCTGACGCAAAGCCTCAAGCAATCGAAGACGATCCACAAGTTCGTTAGGATCGTCCCAATGAATATAATCGATTTTATTTTTATTTAGTGTCATGGCATGCGGTATTACACTTTTTCCGATTTTTTACCTAACTTGTTGTTTAGTTTCTTAGCGCGTGGTATACCCGTACCAACTTGTATTTTACCTGACACCAAGGGTGCTATTATATTCGTATATTTGTACTCTTTGCTACTCTATTATCCACTTTATGACTGTGCCTATGAGCATTGCCAACAATATATTTTTATATGCTAATTTATCATTCTCTGTGTCGTCGGGAATTCTTTTAAAAATTAATTTGTACAATCCAAGTGTACCTTTGTACTTTACTTCATCTACGATCATGAAATCACTCGTGTTCAAATCGAACTGTTTGTCACCGAGCATTGTGCCGTTCTTGAGATATACACCGTAAACGTGATCGATCTCCTTTTTTCTATCACTACCGAGAAGCATGTTTACGTATTTTTGTCCCCAGTTGTCCAACGGCCTTAATTGATCATGCAATTCTTCACGAACTTGTTGTTTGCAAAGATTGTTTAACTAACATTTCAAGCGGTTTATTAGGCGTTTTATAAATATCTTCAGCTAAGGGAGAATGTAAATGTTCGTACGATAATTTGCGTGATGCGATCGATGTAGAATTAAATGAATCCAACATGACAATCGATTCTTTTGTGCGTTGCCTTTTAGGCGATGGTGTTAATTGAGTCATGCTTTATCCATCCAGAAATCATCATCATCATTATCATCATTTTTGTTATTTTTGTTATTTTTAGATTTTCGTTTCTTAATAATTTTATCCTGTGCAACATTTATTTCTTTCTTAATCGGCTGAGATTCCTTGTCAACAGTACTTTCGACAATCTATTTCAGAGTTCGACAATAGGCTGAAAGTGTCTCTCCACCGTTATGTCTTCTTTTATTTTACCGCTTTCAAAGCGCGATACTTTTTACGAATCGAATCACTGGTTTTCGCAATCTGCTTTGTTATCCTCTGACTCCTTGTTGCTATCCATGTTGTACTCTAGAGGAAACGTTGTGTAGTTGATGTATCGACAAAGACTAATCACGTTACGGTATCTCATACTCATTAAATCCTTTTCTGTATCGTCCATTTGTGAGCGCACTATCCTTGTTTATCACTACAAATCCATATTTTTGCTGCCAATAGCAGCAACACAGTTCGCAGAAATCCTCGTAAAACATATCGGTATTCACATGGCCAATGTATACATATTTCAGATTGATACCATCCTGTTTGAACAGAATTAACAGATTTGCATTATCACATATAAGATGCTTCGGTATCTTTGCATACGTCTGACAGAGATAGAAACAGTCGATGTCCGCGTGTCAACCCATCGCAAAGTTCTTTCTAATCGCGTCTTGCTTATCGCATGTCACGTCGTCAAAAATAAAAATGGAATTTGGAAGCGCCTTGTTCGGTGAAACGACATCGCTATTATTGAAGAATGTAAAATAATCAATTTCTTTCAATCGAGGCTAATAAGTTCTCGATAAATAAAGTATCGATATTTTGGCTGTTACAACGATTTCAAGTACATGTACACGTTCTCGAAGCGTGCTATGTGAACTTTCCAATAAACTTATCAGCACGTTTATTTTGCCACAGTTTGATGGAGAACAGATAATATTATGTATAGAAATCGGCAACATGTTTCCATGCTTGTGCATTTCTTTTTCAGTACTTTGTTGTCGACATTAATTACGTTGATTGTTTACGATTGTAGTATGAACCTCATATTTTCACCTCCTCCGCGATACTGATATAAACTAAAAAAATTGTACCAATAATAGACTTATTTATAAAAGCGCGTAGAGCGAAACTGCTCAGTATTGAAAATGTTTTTTATTGTGTCGGACAACTGTAATGAACATAGTTTAACTGTCAAAAAGTTAAAATATATACTGAAAATTTTGTTACAAAAGTTTAAAAATTACATAAATCAACTGTGAGACAGATTATCTGAACATATAAAAGCTGATTTAGAAGTTCAGTTACATCGTCGGTATTTGAAACATTATAATTTGCTTTGTCATCGATGGTCCGGTATCATTTGTAAAAAATTGCTGTGAATGTCAATTACAACAACAAAAGCTGCGTTTTTTTTAAATTGATAAATGCACTTCCATTCGAATTACATATCCCCGGATATCAATTTTGCGGTCCAGGAACATATTTACTGATAAGATTTTATCAGTTAACAGAGCGTACTGGATGGATTGAGCCGGTAATTATGTATTTCGCGATCGTGCTGTTTCTCCTATCGGAGTTCTAACAGAGACGGTCCTCTTCCTTCGGAGTACAAGCTGAGACGATCCTCTCCTTCCGGAGTACTAACAAAGACTGGCGACTGAGGAGGAGGGATCACTCAGCGGATGTCGGTTACAATGAGCTTCTAGAAGTTTCCAGAAGTTTCTAGAAGTTTCTAGAAGCCGCGCTCGTGTCGTGTACAGTCACGCACAGAGTATCGGCCTGTACACTCGCAACGGGAAATGCGCTGAGCTTACATACTAGTATTCTCAACATTTACAAAAGCGACTGACTAGAAGCGATCGAGGCATTAATCCGTTGGACTCGGCGTGTCGCAACACGACATAGTTTATTCACGGAACAAAAATCTCGCGAAACGACATGTAGGTAATAAAATACTCGTCGAGAAGGTACGGAAACGTATTACTGCGACATATTACTTCGACTCTCTGAGAGAGAGAGCTGCTGCCACTGCTATTTGGACTATGAAAGCCATGACGAAAATCGCTATGGATTTGAAAACAAAGAAGAAAAAATCAACGACAAAGCGAACACTCTCGGTGACAAAATGCGGCGATTTCTTACCTATTTTACCGCTGCTGGGAGTCGTCGGCTCGCTGGTTGGCGGCGCGGCAGAAGTCGCAAAAGCTATAAACAACAATAAAGCCGCGCGGCGTCAATTGGAAGAATTGAAACATTATACATAATCATGTCATGGAAGGCCATGGAGTTTACCTTGCTCCATACAAGCATGGACCAGGGATCTCAACAGAGAAAACTAAGAAAAATAAAAAAAAAACGGTAAAAATGCGTAAGGGTACAACTATCAATGCAATAACTGACAAAACGTATGCGCATTCTATATTTTAGAGGTATTTTTATGTACTACCTTATCAACGGGGGAGAGTATATACCGAAATGAAAGCAGTATCGTAAATTTGGATAATGCTGAGGGGCCTGATACTCATTGAGTGGCGTACGCGAAACAGGGAGACTTGCTCGTTCTGTTTACTTTGATAGTTTCGGTAATCTTCGATCACCAAAGGAATTGATGTGATATTTGGAACGTAATGCAAATCGAATATAATCGCACGCCTTATCAACGTTACGAACAAAGTAACTGTGAACAATTGTGTCTACAGTTTTTACAGACGGTTGACGATCAATTTAAGAATTGATTGCACTCTTTCAATTCAGTATTCATTCAAACATGTCATTTATACTTACTGGTAAGAGTAGCGTTCTCGCGGCCTGCTACTTTCGTAGATTTCAGCGATGGCGATTACAAGCTCGGTCTGACGGACTTTGAAACTTACCATACGATATCTAATGTAAATTTATTGAATAATAAATTTTACTTCGACGAAGATGACAAGGAAATTGTCATTT